TTCAGTAGTCATTGGTAGAATAGGACAAAATGTCAAATTGAAGGTTGAATAACTTTCATTCAGTATGAACATTGCACACTGAGAAGGTGCCCTTGGAACTGCTGTGGGCCAAATCTGTCCTCTACCTGTTTGATGGAAGCTTGTCTCTGATGTTGTCAGTGTTGAGGCATTTTAATTTCTGTTAAAAAAAAAAAAAAAACCTGTAGCTGCAACCAGAATAGGAGATTTAAAACTGCATGAGATTGAATATTTCAAATATTTATCCTACTGTGAGTCTTAATGAGATGAGGGGTGTATACACTGTTCTCCCCATTTTTTTTTATTCATGTAGACTTTATTAACTAAATAATGTAAAAGTATTAGGCTTGGGCAGTATGTATTTTTTCATACCTTCCTGACATTTCACCAGGGTATTATATGAAAGCTGATCTGCTGGTAACAAGTTATTGTAGCATGTGAGTATGTCTATTTTAGCCGGCGCAGCTTTTTTCATCACTGAGAGTCATCTCTCGTGATGCTACTCGGCCAATTAAATCTGTGCATTGCGACTTGACTCTGAGTCAGATACACACAGCCTGTGCGACAAGATGAGAGGAAATAAGTCAGTCAGAGAAAACTAATTTCACATGCTGTGCTCTAAAAAGAGAAACATAGACAGGGAAAAGAGTTTTTATTCCAGAAAGGACAGACTCGTACATGTTGATGCTGATTATTTAAAAGCGCCATGTGAAACTCTACTAACATTATAAAACATGAAAATCATCCCTTCAAGATTTCTAAATACCCTGGTACACCGTAATACTTCAGTACTGCTCAAGCCTAGACTTTTCTTGTTACTCATGGTTAGGGCCAGCTATTGTAATTACTTTATACTTGTCAAGATACCATAACTTGGTTTCAGTTCCTATTACTAAAATTAAACATGTGTTTTGATGCCATATTGACATGTTTTCTACAAAATCCTTTTTTCTGTCTGACAAAGGAAGGCCAAGTTCTCAAATGAAGAATGACATTTCAGTACTTGACTTTAGTGCTACAAAAAGAATTATTAATGTATCGTATGCATAGCTATACACATGCTGTATCTACTCACGTCTAACATCTAAGGAAAATCAAATAGCATTTCAAGATGAAGAAAGTGCACACAACTCAGTGAGTAGCTGTACATTTGCATAGCACTGTAGTTTCTGGAAAAGAGTACTTAACAACAATGCCTGGTTACTTGCAAGAGTGGCTGTTTGGTAGACAAGCTGAGAACCAACAGCCAGAGTCTACCTACATTTTTGTTGTGTAGCTGGCAGCATATTGTTGAGTATCCTCAGTCTGTTCTCACCTAATGCTAAACACTGAGTTTGGCTGCACAAGTGAAAACAGGCAGAGCAGCACTTGTCTGAAGTGTGATAATGCTCCATAGTAATATAAACAAGATAAAGAAAATGTACAGACGCTAATTATTCAGACTCTCTGTCCTCCTCTCCGTCTCTCAGCAGGCTTACTTCCTTTACCCGCCAACAATACCACCCTTTTTTCTTTAGAAGGCCTGTTTTGCTTCCATCCCTGTCTGCAGATGAAAGCAGTGGAGGAAGATGATTATCATAAGCTGTAGAGTTTTATCTGTGAAGGCGGCTGGCCGTCTCCTCTGATGGGTCGTTTGGATCCTGTCCCTGCGTGATGACATCAGCAGCAGGATTGCCTATAAAATGCAGTGGAGTTTAAGGGCCTCAGTGCGGCAAGCAGACAGGCCACGGATCAATGGAGAGGTTTAAGATGACTGGGCAGACGTGACTGCACACACTGACACATACAAGCTTAAAAGCCGGTCACATGCCTGTGAGATGCAGATGGTGATAACAGATAGATGCCTTCTTCAGATCTCTACGTATGCAGTCTGAGGCGAAGTCATGAGAGAGGACCAAACCGTGTACACATTCCACTACTTTTGTTTTGTCTCTATCATGGACATTATGTAAAGATGGATGACATGACAGCTCTCCAAAGGTGAAGGCTAAACATCTGTATCGGCCTCTGGTGCCTGACTGCAGTATAGGTCGTAAAGCCTGTTTATATGGGCCAAATAAAAAAATCAAAGTACACGTCAAATAATTTTTCTTTTTTTTTTTTGGTTTCTGGCATTTTAGTGAGTTCTTATCGCGCTGATGTAGGTTCAAGTGTTAATTTAAGATGGCAGTGGGAGGAAGGGGAGATGCAATGTCCATCTCTTATATGTTGATGGTCTCCACCCATAGCCAGGTAGCTAACGCTAACTAGCCAGCTGTCTTCAGGCTGATCTTGTTAAGAAGCACTACCAGCAAGAGCAGATGAGTTAGTGAGCAAACTTTTGAGTTTCACCGGTGGATGCCCATCTGGTTGTGGCATTCTACTTTTTACTGTAAAGGATATTTTGAAATGTGCATACCAGTGATCTCCTTTTATGTGCTCATAATGTAAAAATCATGCTTAAGTATTTTTTGCATTTGTGCTTAAAATCAGGAATCATCCCTTTGCTAAAAACAAAACAAAAAAATCTCACCCATATCACACATGCATTCTTTTTGATGCTGTCTCGTCCTCTTGGCTAACATGTCTCCTATCTTATTCATGCGCTTCATATCCTTCTCTACTTCTGTTTGACTGCATTGTTCTCTCTTTCCGTCCTATCATCTGTGCCTGTATTTATCCCATGTTTAACTCTACAGTTTGACCTCCAAGTCTTCTGTAAGACGTCCCACTGGCTGCTTAAGTATTCTGCAAACACCAGCATGTGTTATCGCTCCCTCTTACTTTGTGAGACAGCAGGAATTTTCCATAGATCTGGTCTCTCTATAAAACTGCTCAGCCCTGACAGATTGTGTTGATGAATCAGCCTCTGTCTGCCCTGTGTTCAAGTGCTTTTCTCTGTTGCGTTGCTTAGCCTCACTGCTGTCTGCAGGTTGTACAACTCTCTCTCTGTGCATTAATCCCGCAACTGTCCTTCAGAAGTAAAATATACAGCGCACATCTTAAAACAGGCAGACAGTCTTAAGACGTTTGCTTTCAGTGTTTTTCTGACTGCCTGGATTAAGCTTAAGGTAGCCACTCAGGCAGGTAGTAAAGTGGTAGGACCTCTTTGACACACCTATCCTATTTAAACTGTTGTCAGCTTGAACTATAAATATTTATAATACCTCTTTTCATTGTTCTTCTGCCAGATTGCGTCCTTTAATTTTTTGTCATTTTGGAAGAGAACAGTTCCAGTTTTTGTGTTTATAAAGCACTAGTACAGCAGACGTTTGGCAGTCATGTCTTATTGACTAATCAAGTCAGTCTCATTGCTTTGTTCAGCTCCATGAGATAAAGGGTTTGGTGCCATTCGTGTTAAAAATGCCATGTTTTCATCTGTGTGACTCCATCTGTCCACATCCTTCTGTGTACTGTGTGTCTAGTTTACTTTTATTATGGTTTGTAATTGGATTTAAGCTTTACGCTTTCATATTTTGTTTGGACATATTTATGACTCCTTTGTAAGGCAACATATTTCTGTGGGCTTTTTAAACCCATCTAGATGTGTCCCTGAAATAAAAATCTGGCTTTAATAACACTAACAAGGAAAGAAAGCATATCTTCTTTAAAGATGCACAGATCAGTTTTTTTTCCAGTTCCAATCCAATTCTGACCTGAATTTGAATATCTGCTGATACTAATAAATATTCCTAATTAAATTGGTAGAATTGTACAATGGAGAACAACTTCCACCCTTCGGAATGTTGGCTTTACACACATTACAAGTTGCTGTCTTGCTTTTCCATGTTTTGACTCTAAAATATCTCCAAACAGAGGTGTTGAGTTAGCTGTTTCTCATGTCTCTCATGTTACAGCGGATTCATGGTCCAAGAATTTGGGAAACAAATAATATGAGGGCTACTACTAGTACTAGTAATTTGTGCTACAAAATTTAGGCTATATGCTTAAAATGGCATTATTACATATTTATGATTCATAAAACCATCAGACTATATATCTGAATTGGTACTTGATTGGTGATGTTCCTCTGATATCTGTAATGTGAATTAGGTCAGTATTCATCATATTGGTCCCAACTCTAATCTCTCTAGATACTACTGTAGAATGAAATTACCATGAATGAAATAAAATCTGTTGTGGTACCAAAGACTAGATGAAGATGAATTCTGTCCTTTAGCAGGGCAACATGAGCTTTAGGAAGCAACATTAGGTTTCAGTAAACCTAAACACTCACCAGTAAGCTGTGTTTATTTGTCAACTTATCTGCTGTTTGCTTTAAAAGTGAACATGAGTTGTCTGTCTTCTGAGCAGTTTTAGAGCATCCACAGTTACAGCTTGCAGCATATGCTCATATGCATCGCGTTCAGTAGCAGAACAACCTTAGTTTCCTTTTATCTCTCTGATTGGCATGCTGAGAAAAGAACAAGGGCTGCAGCAGATTTTTCTGGGCCTTCATCTGTCAGACAAGTGCAAGAACTTGTGTTATCTCAAAACGAACACATGTCCATTTCTCTCCATCAGTCTGTGTAAATTAGACGCCAGTCATGATAATGGAAACCTAACTCCGTCTGTGTACTTTGGTATGTCGCCCTGCTCAGCCAGCGTAGTTTGACCTCCAAGCTTTTCTTGTAGACATCTCAGTGGTACTCTGAAACATTTCACATTACTGCAGCATAGTTTGAAGGGAGGTTTTGCATATATTAGTCTGCCAGTCTCCTCCATAAATCTGTTCAGCTCTGACACTGTGTGGCCATCATTTAGTGATCGTTTGTCTCCTGACATCTCACTCTGCCTTATTTGCCTTCATCCTGCGTTTGTTTTGGTTGTTGACAGTTGTTTTATGCTCATAGCTGACAGCTGTTTGAGAAGAATATTAAGCAGGGAAAACTGATGGACTGCAGAATATTCCAAGTGAACACGATAAAAGCCAACCAATCTTAAAATTAACTGTCTCTTTTTTTCCCATCCTCCGTCTCTCTCTCTGTCTCTCTCCCGTCCAGGTATTCAAGCTGAAGGCGGTCCAGCTAGCCGAGAAGCTGCTCCCTGCCTTTAACACCCCCACAGGAATCCCTTGGGCCATGGTCAACCTTAAGAGGTCAGTGACACTGCCACTGAAAACCACCCCCTTGTCCAGTAGCTAGCCTGAGATGAATATAAAGTGAGATGTGCCACTCGGTATCACTAACAGTTGACCGAGCAGCCTGAAACAAACTGGTGTGACTGACAGCTTGGATTATGGTCATTTTAGCTTTTTTTTCTTCTTACT